GGGGAGGGGGGGGGGGGGGGGGGGGGGGGGGGGGGACTCTCGAATTCTGTTACGCATTTCTGAGTCTTTTCCTTTTTTTTTTGGCTTCTTTTCTTGAAAAAGAAGCCAAAGGAGAGGACGAGTATTAGAAATACTTGCCAAGGAGAACTCCCTCTGTGTCCCTCTGTTTCTCAACAAAACACTGCCTATATGTTTATGCCAATAGTGTATCCGTTGAAATGCGGATCGAGTGATGAAGCGAAGGAGGGCATCGAGGCAGCTCCGGGGCATCAGGGAAAACCTCATCATTTTTGAGGGGAGAGGGGAAGTGAGAAAGGAAATCAGTGGTGGTTTCTCTCTTTTCAACCACCAAATTAAGGAGAGAAAAAAAAAAAAACCTGTCTCCTCAGACACACTGCCCTAGATCTGAATCTAGTAGAAAAGGCAAGCGGATGCCCCCACCTGGAGGATCTCGGGGGATTTTCGAGTCGCTCTTGCTCTCCTATACGACCGACTTAATCCGCAACTCCCGTCGTATTTTCAGTCTCATAGATGGCTCAGAATCGCGATTAATCTTCACTTATACAAGTAGAGTGACACGTATGCTGCACAGGGCCGGATTAAGAGGGGGGGGGGGGCAAAGGGGGCTGTTGCCCAGGCCCCCGAAGGAAATTAAAAACGTTAAATAGTTGCGTAAAGTAGCGGGGGGGGGGGGGGGGGGGGGGGGGGCGCAAAAATCCNNNCGGGGGGGGGGGGGGGGGGGGGGGGGGGGGGGCGCGGGTAGCCTCAATAATCCACTTGTCGGAACAATCAAATAATGGTAAAATTCATGTTTCGCTTGGGAGAAGAAAAAAAAAAGGAAGAATCCTGTCTAGGAGATTTATTCTAAAGAGTTGCTTGGGAGTCCACGTTTAGCTCGGATCGCCCCCCGACGTCGTACCCGAGGAACCGGCCCAGCATCTGCCTCCCGGCGGCACTCATCACGGCCGTTCATGTCTGCCGTATCAAAATATGTCATCTCGTCCCGGCAACTTGATTTTCGATAAGAATCTCTCCCTCGTCCTGTCATCCTGACTAGTATATGAGTAGCAGTTCAACATATAACGAAGCGGAATGTATATTTATACTTGTTTCAATTTTAGACAGTGGAGAAGCCAGGATTTCATGTGAGGACTACGAGGAACTGTAGTGGGTGCAGGATTTGGTAGATGCTGAGGAAATGTACTTGGGTCGACATTATTTTTGCATTTGTGTTCTGGCTCGGAGAGGTATCTTCCACTTTCGCCCCCGTAGACTTAATTGAAAGATAGTCGCTAAAATTTCCTCTATATCTCATCTCGATAATCTGGGGCGAGAGAGCACAGGGGCGACTTTCCAAACGTTGATTTCGTGACCGATAACCACGTCTGCCCCAACCTTTTACAAGGGTTTTAAGGTTAACTCCCAGTTTCACTTTCCCACCCTATGTAAGATAGATACTGAAAGTGAAGGAGCGGATAGGAACTATAGTCCCTCATGGATTCATAAGTCATTGTTCTTATGAAGAATCTTATATTTCAGTCAAATGATGATGGTATAAAATGCGCAAATTAGGTCATACAGCTAAAAAAAAAAACTCGCTTCTGAACGAACTGCTTCCGAAGGAACAGATGGTCTAACCAAACGATACCACATAATACAGGGCTGACTTTAAAAAAATCAATTTCGTTTGTCTGAAATAGATGAATAGATTTTGGAGATGGTCAATCCAGGCCTCCCAGTCCCTGTATTTCTTTTTCTTTCTTATCCTGGCACCCACAGTGTCCTGCATGACCAGCCGCAATTCCATGTGCGATTTTTCCTTCTAAGTCAAAGCCACGAGTTCAAACATGTTGAAGCGGCTCTTCTGGAAATATTTCGGACTCCCTCTTACACAGGGAGGGACAGTGAAACTGGGAGTTGACCTTGCCTCCCATTTTTAAAGATTGAGGTAGATCAATAGGCGCCTATTACCTTTCTTCAACCCCTTTCTGCCGCAAAATTCAACCTCCTTGTATTCCTCTCTGAGAGGATCAACAGGAACGAAATTTGGCATACTTCTTCCTCTCACATTGCAGAATCGCTCCAGCAAATTTGAAGCTCCATCTCCCCGGGTTTGAGGAGAACACTGAATCTCGTTTTTGGATGATGTGAATTTCATTCCGTTTTTTTTTTTTTCTCCCCCCCGGGTAGTCACTCTTGGGGGGGGGGGGGGGGGGGGGGGGGGGTTGGGGGGAAATGAACGGAAACCGGTGTCNCCCCCCGGGTAGTCACTCTTGGGGGGGGGGGGGGGGGGGGGAGGTTTCGGAGGAAAAAGACCAACCATAAGAAAGATATTGACTCGTAATGACGAAGAGTGGCTTTTTTTTGCTGTTTGCGATGCTCCATTTCGCCATAAAAAATGAAATTGGCTGTCGTTCAATTAGGTTTAGAGTGCTTGCTCCGGTACCGTTCCCCAGTGTTGCCGGATACCGTGCCGAAATTATGCCAGATTCAAGGCTGTTTCCACATTGGCGTCTGGATCTTCTGTTTTTTAATGTATGAAACATTTTTGTGCTGAGTTCATGAGATGAGTTGAGAATGAAGCTGTGGTTAGCAGCCACTGGTCGATGTGATGGGATATGCGGATATCTTATCCGGACATCCCTGAATTAACAGGATAGCGCGTACCATGGATTCCGTGCTTCTTGAGGGCATTCTCTCCTCAGACCTATTCGAGATGGTTCGAGGAACTCCAGATAGGCCTAACGTTCCACATCCCACTGAAATAGTTCATGAAACGCGAAACAGGCCTCCAATCGGTCTAACGTTACACGTCCACTTTGAAATGGTTCGTGAATGTATGAATAGGCCTGCGATTGCCTAACGGTACACGTCTTTAACCAGGTGTCTCGAAGACCACGATTCAACCTAATAGGCTTACTTGGCGCCGTGAGTCGAGAATTGAGTTTCCTTTGAAAAGGAAAGGTAGGTCTTGGCGTGACCTGAAGGCATTCTGTTGGTTAGGCCTAGGCCTAACGCTAGTGAGTCCCGTAAAGAGGCGGGGGGGGGTCCAGCCGTTATCATCCAAATTTGTATACCATATTTGAACTAGAACTAAAGATAGTGGGGATCTTCAGCTCTCCCGAGCTTTACCCTTCCCCTTATGAGTTCTACGCCACCCTTCACCTTTTATTCCGGACGTCTCCGAAATGAAAGGTGAAGAGGAGAAGCCGTTAAGCAGACGTCTTATTGCGAATATGCTGGACGAGCACTTCCGCACCCTTGTTCGCTTTCTCGTAACCTGACATTTCCGTCTTGCATTTGGCTAGCCATGCGCTCAAGCGTTTCATCTCGGACTGATCCACGATTCCAAGGGTCTTTAAAGGTTTTATTATATTTCAACCAAGGTCCAGTCATTCGATGCAACGATGATGTTGATGGCCTGACCTCGACGCCGGAGGCGACGGGAATGATGGAAGTATCTGCGAACGTGCGGTGCTTCCCTTCGCAATACCCCCAGAGGCTTTAATGAATTCATTCAAGATCAGGAATGTCTCCTTCAGATCCTTCTTTGCCTCATGTGAGTCAGTTTCTCGTTCCCCTAAATGATCGGTCGCTGAGAAGTGAAAAGAAACGTTTATTCTAATGAAATTTTGTTTCCGAATATAACTTTCCATTTGAAATGTTATCCTCGCCACGATGCCCTCCACTCTCCAAGGATCCCGATGTCGAAGTCCAGGCATCGATCGACGATGGCTCGGCTTTCGGATCCTTGGGGTACAAAGACTCGTCCTTACCGTTCACGTTGAACAGATAACACAATATCACCCGACCGGTAAAAAAAAAAAAAGGGGGGGGGGNAACATCATCGTTGCATCGAATGACTGGACCTTGGTTGAAATATAATAAAACCTTTAAAGACCCTTGGAATCGTGGATCAGTCCGAGATGAAACGCTTGAGCGCATGGCTAGCCAAATGCAAGACGGAAATGTCAGGTTACGAGAAAGCGAACAAGGGTTGCTTGGATTTTCACAGAAGTTTTTGTAGTATTGAGTAAAATTGAGTAAAACTGAAATTTTGTCCTCTTTAGTTGTTATAATGGAAGAAGAGATTAACTGTCCACGCGCAGGCATGAAGAGTAGCCAAGAGGACTTAACCTTCAACATTAGTAAGATATAAATGTCAACTTATATTTAACTTAACTTATACCTTCAGCTCCCTCCGTTGGTAATCCACTCCAGATTCCCCTGTGCTGTCTGCACAAGATTGTCAGTCCTGCAAGCAACACAACTCGAAGGGGCATGAGTGTTTGGTTGAATGCTCGTCCGCTTCGTGAGTGCCTCCTCGTATCCTCCCATGCTTGACGGCGTGAAATCCCCTTCCCCGAAAGGCTGGAACGGGAGATATCTCATTCCACTTTGTAGCTTTCAGTTCTCCCTTAGATGAACTGTATTTCCGATTCACTTAGGTGTCATCATAGGTTCGTCTTCGGTTGTTACAGAATAGGTTCTAAGACAGAACGTAAAAAAAAAATTTTGTCGAACGGCAAGAATATCGACGTCACACAATGTCGAAGGGCAGAATGGGAGAGAGTAAAAAATGTCAAACCGTGGAAGGGAGGAAACGTCGAACATGTCGAAAAACGTCGAATGTGCTTGCCTAGGGCTAATTCTTCAAATTTTCTCCTCCGACTTGGAGTTTGGAGTAATTCCAGCCATCTGTGATAACCAAATGTGGCACATGAATATTACATATTTTCTTTTTCTGCCAGAGCGTGTAGCGGCTAGTTCAGGCGCAAGTTCTCACTGTCACAAACAATGATAATGACAATTTCACGTTGCACATCAGGATCAGAAATACTCAAGAGCCTGCCTATATGAACAGATCCTATAACTGCTCACTTCCGGGGAACGTTCATGGATGGGCGGCACCCGGGAAGCAATATTCCCTCGAAGATCCTGGAATTTTTCGGGCTCCTGGAATGGTAGGAATGCTCCTGTAAAGTGTGGAACGCTCGCAGACGAGTCTTGCATCAATAATCGCATCGAGGGACGGCCCAACAAGTTGGTGTACAGTTTGACCGGCCGAAACCATCAAACTATATTCCATATCCTGGACGTAACATCTATGGAGTAGTCAGCAGTTCAGGAGGTACTGATTCATTCAAGATTGGATCAAGGATTCCAGGAGGTTGCTCTGTCAATTAAGTCAGCCCGTGTCGAGGCCGAGCGTTCATTTAGTAACAGGGTCTGTCCATGCCAAGTGGTCTTAGGGTTTTAGTCAGAATTTTCTCTAAATATGCGAATATTACTTTGGCTACAAAAGTTCATCATCTCTTTTCCCAGAAGGCATGCACGGAGGAGAATATTAAATTAAAAAATGAAGGAGTTGGTCGTGCATATGTATCATTCATACCATTCTCAATATATTCATGGATGTGACGAAAGTGGAAATCTGGAGAGACTGACACTTCACTACTGGAAAAGATGCCACCATGGGTTCTCCTATGCGAACTGATGATTTCAAATCAGGTCAGGTGCTAAGAATAGATGTCAATTGGTCACACTTGAATGATATCTTTAAAATAACATTAAAATATATGTACAGGCTTTTCGTTTTAAAATGCATTTTCCGAACGTGTCACTTTCTGACACTTTCTTGTCACATCCGACACAGTCACAAAACAGCCTCACTTTCTTTTCCAGGTTTTGTAATCCTGAAGTTACTTACACTAATCAAAGGCTTTCATTTAAACTATAGAATGAACGTAACTCTAAGTTATTAGGTTCCGTTCTATGATAGAAATGTGAAGATTACAGCAAGTGACTTAAACACGAAGTTTCACGAAATGTCACGTCTGACACTTTTCGTCGCACACAGGTACACCTCTAGCAAACACATCAGGATCAGAAATACTCAAGAGCCTGCCTATATGAACAGATCCTATAACTGCTCACTTCCGGGGAACGTTCATGGATGGGCGGCACCCGGGAAGCAATATTCCCTCGAAGATCCTGGAATTTAGGGCTCCTGGAATGGTAGGAATGCTCCTGTAAAGTGCGGAACGCTCGCAGACGAGTCTTGCATCAATAATCGCATCGAGGGACGGCCCAACAAGTTGGTGTACAGTTTGACCGGCCGAAACCATCTAACTATATTCCATATCCTGGACGTAACATCTATGGAGTAGTCAGCAGTTCAGGAGCGACTGATTCATTCATGATTGGATCAGGGATGCCAGGAGGTTGCTCTGTCAATTAAGTCAGCCCGTGTCGAGGTCGAGCGTTCATTAAGTAACGGTCTGTCCACGCCAAGTGGTCTTAGGGTCTTAGTCAGAATTTTCTCTAAATATGCGAATATTACTTTGGCTACAAAAGTTCATCATCTTTTTTCCCAGAAGGCATGCACGGAGGAGGATATTAAATTGAAAAATGAAGGAATTGGTCGTGCATATGTATCATTCATACCATTCTCAAGATATTCATGGATGTGACGAAAATGCAAATCTGTAGAGACTGACACTTCACTACTGGAACAGATGCCACCATGGGTTCTCCTATGCGAACTGATGATTTCAAATCAGGTCAGGTGCTAAGAATAGATGTCAATTGGTCACACTTGAATGATATCTTTAAAATAACACTAAAAGATATGTACAGGCTTTTCGTTTTAAAATGCATTTTCCGAATGTGTCACTTTCTGACACTTTCTTGTCACATCCGACACAGTCACACTCACTTTCTTTTCCAGGTTTTGTAATCCTGAAGTTACTTACACTAATCAAAGGCTTTCATTTAAACTATAGAATGAACAATTGAGATTCAATAATCCAAGGCAAGATACTATCTTTACACTTCTAATGTCGTTCACTGAATTTGTGCTTCAAAGTGCTTTACAGTGCAGACTGTGAAAAGCAGCGTGTGTCCATGTGGAGATCGTTAAGAGAATGTGCAAGATTTTGGATTGTGGTCAATTTTATTATGGTAATTTTAGTCACTGCCAAATTTTTGCAATGAAGCATACAACTAGGCAGTAAATATTATATCAATTTATGTAAAACATACAGTTTGTATAGTGAGGCCCACAGTGAAGGCTGTGCCACTCGTCTGGGTTATCATTTTTATACGTTCCCGCAATTTTTAACATATTTTTAGGGGAGCTCTACCTTCTCCTGCCTCTCTGCCTTCTACTGCCTAGTTACGTAACGCTACTTTGCTCCCTTTTTTTTCCCCCCCTTGGAGCCTCTTCTTAAAGCTAGATACGAAAGGGGCAGCCACACGGTCGCCCAACGCATTCCATGCATTCACCACCCTACAAGTGAAAAAAGTTATTCCGCGACCTGAGTCTCGCTTGGGGCTTTCGCAATTTGAACTGATTTCCCCTCGATCGGTTGTTACCATTAAAATTGAAAATACCTATCGTGCTCCAAGCTTTCAATTCCCGTAATGATCAGGAATGCCTGAATGAGGTTAACTCACTCGAGCGAATGGAGCTCCAGCACTTTAAATCGTATCTCATATGAGTCCACGCACCTCCTTCATCATTTCATTAGCCCGCCTTTGAACCCTATCTAACGCCGCTAGCTCACTTTTATTGTCAGGCCTCCAGAATCGACTGCAATACTCTTGATGGGGCCGGATGAAACCTTGGATCCTGTTACACTTAGCCACGGTCGCCTGAACGCGAGAGGAGAACTCGAGTTCTTCGTCGATCGTAATTCCCAAGTCTATCTCTCGGTTCCCAATTCATCCTTGTCAAACGCAGAGTCCCACCTTTATTGCAACGGACGTGAAGGATCTTACTTATACTCTTGTTCATCAACTCTTCATGGACCATTTTTTACTCGAGGAGTCAAAATCTATCTCGGCTCTCGTCCTGTCCTCCCCGTTGACGGTGAAGCCTACCACGTATTTCCGTGTCCCGAGATGGAAAGGGGATAACCACCATAAAAACGAAAGAAACGTAATATTGACAGAGACAGAAAAGGAAGAAGATAGAAGAGTATGACTTTAGGCCTTTGCTCGATCGTCTTGAGAGGTTTACCCTACGCCAAGTTCTGAAGCTGTTTTTTTTTTACGATGGACATTTGACTGCATCTCTGACTCCAATATATTCTTATCGACTCAAATAAAAGTGGCTCTGGACATTCTCCCAGTCCACGATTCGACCTTTCCTCATTTTTAACTTCGACCATGACGCCGTTTGCGATCATCCGACAGAAGAGAATTCGACATCATCCCATTCGACCGTTGGAGGGCAGACCATAAAGCACGGCAGCGATTCATAACCTTTCAGCAACGGCACCCATTCGGGGGTAGCGAGGTGTCGGCGTCACGAATACGCGGATCTTCATGCTCAATATTATTGGCTTAATTAAAAATGGGAAAATATGGGGCTGTGAATTTATTTCTGACACAATTATTTTGAAGTTGCTCACCAAGAGGATCATTTAAAGGAAAGCGATTCAAGCCCGTGAATTTTTTTAAAAATATCACTTCGATGTGATACCTGTGCCTGCTTCTGGTTCCAAAGAAAGTCAAGGTACGGCTCAAAATTTTCAGGGATCCTGGGCAGATCATTCTTAATACTTATGCAGGGCCGGACAATTTTTTTAAAAATTATATACAGGGTGTCCACGAAGTCCTTGATACATTAAAAACTTTAATACCTCAAAAAGTATTATGCATATGACAATCCTGTTTTTTTTTTAAATAATTATTATTATTATCAGAAAGAGTAACTTCACGAGGGAGATGAAGCAGACAAGGCTAGAGGCGAAAGTGGCCCCATGGCTTTCCGCTCATAACCGACTTTTAACTTTCGACCGTTTCGACATTTCCTCTTCGTCGTTATTTTATCATTTTGTCTCCATTCCATTCGACATCATGC